AATGCTCTTTGATAGTAGGTGAACTATAAATCCCTAGAACTACAATTCCCAAATATCACAGTCTATTTTCCCCAAACTCCACCAGTGTTCACATTTGTGCATATTGAGTATTCATGCCAAATTTGGTCCAGATCCATCATTGTTTGAATCCACAGTGCTCTCTGGATGTAGGTGAACTACAACTCCAAAACTCAAGGTCAATGCCCACCAAACTCTTCCAGTATTCTGTTGGTTGTGGGAGTTCTGTGTGCCAAGATTGGTACAATTCCATTGTTTGTGGAGTTCAGAATGATCTTTGACTATAGGTGAACTATAAATCCCAGCAACTACAACTTCCAAATGACAAAATCAATCACCCACCCCCACAAGTCCACCAGTATTCAAATTCGGGCATATCCAGTGAATGAAAATACATCTGCGTATCAGATACTTACATTACTATTCATAACAGTAGCAAAATTACAGTTATGAAGTAACAATGAAAATAATGTTATGGGTTGGAGGTCACCACAACATGAGAAACTGTATGAAGGGGTCGCAGCATTAGGAAGGTTGAGAGCCAATTGTATAGACTATATTTCAGAAGCAGCTGGCAAAACTACCTCTGAATATTCCTTTGCCTGAGAAACCCTATGAAATTTATGGGGTTGCCATACATTGATAGGAAATTTGAAGTCTCCTACACAAACATTGGACAAGAGAGCACTTTGTTTACTTCTGCCTTTCCTTCTGTTCTAATTGAATGCAAACTACGGTACTTTTGCATTTTGAAATTGATTTGCATCAGTTGGAAGTAAGCGGAGAACTAAAGGAGAGGGGGAGAAATGGGGAATTTTAAATGTAGATGAATGAATTCGATTAATTGGGAGTGTCCCAGGCAAATCAGGACAATTGAAGGATATTGGACTGGATCTTTCACACGACACCTTTAGCACACATCTATGCTTGTGTTTATTCCTCCCACCCATGAGCATTCGTGGTTTCAGCATGACGGGTGTGTGGAATCTTAAGCTGAAACCCAAATAAACAATAAGCCAGTGAAGCAGAAATGTCAATGAAGAGCAAGAGGCATTCTCAGATGAGCAAACGGTGTTGCCCAAGAGACCTACAGTATGTTGCTAAATACACTGTTTTTCCTCTTGCCGTGGATAGTCTTAGCCACGAACCCTTGTGTGACTCCTTTGCTGCCCCGGGGCAGGTGGTTATGCAATTTGAGAGGTTGCTCAGAGGGCAGGTGTTAGAAACCGGGCTTGGAGGAGAGGAAAAAACTCCCAATTGTGCAAGGGCTGCTATTCTGGGCATCAGGGGGCATCAGATGAGTTGGAAGGCAATTAATCTGACCTACTGAACAAGTAGGAAGGAAAACTACTATCTCTGCTGGCCAGGTTATGACTCGAGCTGATACTGGAGAAATTGCATGAAGTGATGATTCAGGAGGTTGGCTTTTTGTCCGAAAGAGGCAGGGAGTATCAGCCTACTCACCCAGATTCACTCCTATCTCTGAGTCAGGTGGGGGAATTCTACTCTTAGAAAGAGGTTGTCATAAAAACATCAGGCTCACAGATACTCGAACTCACAATGAATCACCCAGTCAACCTGCTTCGGGATTTTTAGTCCAAATAAGGAACTTTTTCAAGCTGAGGACACTACTCCTATGGCAGGATCTTGAATTTCCTGTCTAGATTCCGTATAGATGGCGGTAGCACTGGAATTTCGGGTGGGATTTGGAAAGCGTTCCTTCTAGAAATGCAGATTGTCAATGCTATTTACCTATTCCAGTGGTTCTCAATCAGTGGGTCCCCAGATATTTTGGCCTTCAACTCCTAGAAAACCTAACAGCTGGTAAACTGGCTGGGATTTCTGGAAGTTGTAGGCCAAAACACCCAGGGACCTACAGGATGAGAACAACTGACCTATTTAGTACTTCTAGATCAGCGTTTCTCAACCTGGGGGTTGCAAGGGGGTGTCAAAAGGGTCGCCAAAGACCATAAGAAAACACAGTATTTTCTGTTGGTCATGGGGGTTCTGTGTGGGAAGTTTGGCCCAATTCTATCGTTGGTAGGGTTCAGAGTGCTCTTTGATTGTAGGTGAACTATAAATCCCAGCAACTACAACTCCCAAATGTCAAGGTCCAGTGTTCACATTTGGGCATATTAAGTATCCATGCCAAGTTTGGCCCGGATTCATCATTGTTTGAGCCCATAGTGCTCTCTTGATGTAGGTGAACTACAGCTCTAAAACCAAGGTCAGTGCACACCAAATCCTTCCACTATTTTCTGTTGGTCATGGTAGTTCTGTGTGCCAAGTTTAGTTCAATTCTATCATTGGTGGAGTTCAGAGTGCTCTTTGATTGTAGGTGAACTATATATCCCAGCAACTACAACTCTCTAATGACAAAATCAATTCCTGCCCAACCCCACCAGTATTCAAATTTGGGCATATCGGGTGTTTGTGCCAAATTTGTTCCAGTGAATGCATATCAGATATTTACATGAAACAGTCTGTGCTGTTTCCTAGAAGGAGATGCGGTCTCGAAGATAGATTGGACCCGTATCGTATAGGGTTTTATAGGTAACAATCTGCACTTCTAATTGGGTCTGGAAATTCAGACAGTGGAGCTGCTTTTATAGGGGCATGGTGTGCTCACTATAATCAGCTAAGGAGCATAGAAAATATGTCCACAATTATTTTCAGGCTTTCTGGGTATACAGAAAGCCCTTTGGTGTCAATTTTTAATACATTTTTTTTTACCCAGAGGGGATGTCAAAAAATGCCCCCCACAACACAAAAGTATCTTTTGAAACAAAGCCCTTTTCTTAAACAGGAGAGGAAGAAAGGAGAAAAGGGAAGTCATGGTTCTGACTCAGAGGCAAGTCACGTACTGTTGGAAGGGAACTTTTTGAACTAACTCACATGGCTTGTCCATGTAATGCCAAGCAATGTTTCAAACCAGACTCGAGTTTTGATGTTTGTTTGCTTTATTCTAAAAACTGCCCGAAATATTACAATGACATCATTCATGTAGACTTGCATTGTCCTCTCTGACGGGCAGTAGCTTTTTCCCCATCATTTTTTCTGGAGATGGCAAGAATTGAACAAGTGTGCACACTGGTTTGCTATGCCATGTAAGAAATCATAGGACAGAAATAACTTTTCCAAGCTCTGATTGGAAATCAGTATTGTCTAGCCTCCTGTAACTTATCACCTATTATGCGCAACTTTTTTTACACAAGGGCATTTCCTTCACGTCGGTCTAGAGAAGGTTTTCCAGGTGGAAAAGAAGGTCCTCCCATTTTGTAGCAGACACACACAACAAAAGAATAAATAGTAACTTTTAAATTGAACCTTATTCAAAGCTATACTTAGCCAGAAGGGATTTCCCTCTAATGTATAACCCCAATAATGAATGGGCAATGGAACAAATTGTAGATTCCTGGTCTTGCTGGAAGGAACAGGTTGTATAATTGCGTACATCTAATCCTTAGCTAAAGAGCAACAAGGGGAAAACTGGCTTGGCAAGGGGAGCCTTGAAGCACAACTGACTCCAGAGCCTGTGAAATTGGCTTGTGTGGTCTATTGTTTTGTCTCAGGTTAAATACAGTATTTCTTAAGGTCAGGTTAAATACAGTATTTCTTAAGGTCGATCAGGTTGCACTGTTACATGGGTTTCCTTTGGCATGGAGTTAAGTGGACAACTGTGACCAGACAGAGCCTTCTATTAGGAGCCATGAATTAGATCTCAAAAACTGCTTGCCACCATCACACACTATTTAGAGGTGCCTTTAATGTGTGCCTTCAAGTCATTTCCACTTTTTGCTTCCATATCATTGGGATTTCTTGACCAGATTTTTTTTTGGGGGGGGGGGGGTTATGTTGCTTTCTTCTAAGGCTGTGAGAGAATAAGACTTGCCCAAGATCACCCAGTGCTTTTCCATGGCTGAGTGGATATTCAGACCTTGTACTCAACACTCATAATCCAGCACTCTAACCATTTAGACCACACTGGCTCTCTAGCAGGGTTTCTAGACTTTTTGGTTTCATTCAACCACTGATGGCTATTCTGCATATCTCCTGATGTTGCTGGACTGCAGTTTTTTGTGGCCTAGGCAAGTAGTGAGGAATGCCAACAGTACTTCCAAAGGCATGGATCCCCAAATTTTGTTGAGCTTCAACCCTCAGAAGCCCTGGACAATATAGTCAATAGTCAAGAATTCCAGGAGTTACACTCTGCCAATATCTGGGGCACCAAAGCTTTGGAACCACTCGTAATAGCCCAATCCTTCTCCAATCTATCCAATTGAGTGGTTTCTAATCTATGGTCCGTTGAGCACCAGTGGTCCGCAAGAACTAAAATATGGCCTGAGGCCTCACAGTTGGAAACAAGAGCGACTGTGAGGCCCTCTTACTAGTGCCAAGGCTTATTAAATATGGTTTTCTGTCAGCAAGCAGATGCCGACTACTGGTTGCGTATGTTCTGTATCAGAAACTAGAGCTGAGGTGGTCTATCCAATGCAATTTTCTGAATCAGCACCCCAGATAACTAAACCAAATTGACAAAAAACCAATTCGTAACCCTTTTGGTGCTAGTGTTGGAGAGTTGTCCCTGGTCAAAAAAAAAGGGGGAACCACTGATCTAATTGAATGGTCCCAGTATTGGGTCTCCCGTTGTTGCTTGCCTACAGCTCTCATTCCTGAAGAGATGCTGGCTGCTGCTGATAATTGTAGATTATCTGGTGACTCAATGTTGACAGAAGCTGGTTTAATCCTTGTTATAAGTTAGTGACCTTTAGCATATCTGGAGATACTGAATTGTGTAAATTAAACTGGGTAAAATATTGTTCTTGGATCATCGCCAGTCATAATTTACCTTTGTGTAACATAGCCTTTCGGAATGCATTTGCTCTATGAATGTAGGTGCATTTTTTAAAGTTGTGTGCAATGTAAAGAGTAACATGGCTTGGATATTCATCAAAAGTTTTTTTTTTCCTGTGCCTCTGCAGGTCTGTCCTCACTTGAAGCCATGAGTTCTGCTGGTTTACAAATCATGGGCATGGCCCTGTCAGTGCTGGGCTGGATTGGGGCGATCGTTACCTGTGCTTTGCCTATGTGGAAGGTCACCGCTTTTATTGGCACCAATATTGTGACGGCGCAGATCACCTGGGAGGGGCTTTGGATGAACTGCGTGGTGCAGAGCACTGGCCAGATGCAGTGCAAAGTCTACGATTCCATGCTGGCCCTGCCTCAAGATATCCAAACAGCTCGAGCTTTGATGGTCATCTCTGTGCTCCTAGCTGTCCTGGCCTTGATGATTGGCATTGTAGGAGCCAAGTGCACCAACTGTGTGGAGGATGAGGATACCAAGGCACGCATCATAATTGTCTCTGGAGCCGTCTTCTTGGCGGCAGGAATCCTCTGCCTCATCCCTGTGTGCTGGTCAGCCAACACCATCATCCGTGAGTTCTACAGCCCCTTGGTGGGTGAACACCAAAAGAGAGAGTTGGGAGCTTCCCTCTACATCGGCTGGGCATCCTCTGGCTTGCTCCTCCTTGGAGGGGCACTGCTGTGCTGCAATTGCCCCAAGAAAGACAGCAACAACTACAGCGCACGCTACACCGCTGCTGCTTCTCAACCCCGAAGTGATTACCCCAGCAAGAACTACGTCTAGGAAGAACATCCTGGAAGCCAAACCAATAGCGTCCGGAAAGCTCAATGATGTTGGGTCTCCTTGGAAGGAGGAAAAGGACTGTATCCCTTCTGGGATGCCACACAAATGAGTGTCCCTACTGAAAACCAAAATATCCTGCTCCAAGACTTCCCAACATTTTTGTCCCATCAGTATTCTTTCCTCACTCCCCATTGTTGTCATATTCATTGTACAGATGTGACCTAAAGTGGTCAGAAATATCTTCCTGGATAATATTTGTGACTTGTGATCAGTGTGTTCCCTTTGTAGTAGGCAGATGAGGTTCTCAGTCTTGATAATCCTCTTTCCACACAGTTTATGATACATGTGCTTAATCTCCCCTTAATGTTCACCGAGGGGCTCCAAATGCCAGAAATCCACTGAGGTCAATTCCTGTTCAATACAATCTGTATCTAGAATGGAGGGTGGAAGCCAGTAACCCAACCCAGGGTAATGAAAGCTGTGATGTGTTGTAACATATTATTTTTAAATGAACGGGATGTAGTCTTTTAGGGGTTTTTTTCTATTGTTTTGCTAACTTGTATTGTGATTGTTGCTAACGTTTATGCATTTCATACATTATGCTTGTTTTACTTTTTTTAATGACCTGAATAAAAAAAATTCTAGGCTTTTGTATATAGTAATTGGTGGTCTAGTGATTTTATGGAAGGGATTGGGGCTAAGCCTAAAACATTTTAAGGTAGAATATAGCCATGGAACAATTAAGTTCCACTTGAGAGCCTTATGAATAATCACCATCCTTGCAGATGGGTTAGACTACTGCCTTGCCATAAATCAGTGTTTCTCAATCTGGGGGTTGGGATCTCTGGGGGGGGGGGGTCACGAGGGGTTGCCAAAGACCATCAGAAAACACAGTATTTTCTGTTGGTCATAGGGTTATAATAAATAATAATAATAAAACTTTTTTTATACCACCCTATTTCCCCTAGGGGACTCAGAGCGGTTTCTACATATGCAAAATAATACACAAAGATACAATATAAAACAAAAACATAGGCATAAACTGTTAACACAACATATACATTACAAAATTTAAAAGCAGTTCCGCTCTCTTCTTCATGCAAGGGGCAAAGATTTCAGTAAGGAGCCTGGACTATTTGGAACGGGCTGGGCCAAGGTTAGTACAATGAGAAGGGGAAAATGGGGCTGGCTGAATGCTACAGTGCAAGGATTGGTCTCGGCAATGGCTCCACTAGGGGTTATAGTACTTTAAACCAATGTTTCTCAACCTGGGTGTTGGACACCCCCCCCCCGGGGGGGGGGGGACGGACATGAGGGGAGTGTCAGAGGGGTCACCAAAGACCATCACAAAACACAGTATTTTCTGTTGGTCATGAGGGTTCTGTGTGGAAAGTGTGGCCCAATTCAATCATTGGTGGGGTTCAGAATACTCTCTGATTGTAGGTGAACTATAAATCCCAGCAACTACAACTCCCAAATGTCAAGTCTATTTTTCCCTGACTCCACCAGTGTTCACCTTTGGGCATAATGCGTATCTATGCCAAGTTAGGTCCAGATCCATCATTGTTTGAATCCACAGTGCTCTCTGGATGTAGGCAAACTACAACTCCAAAACTGAAGGTCAATGCTCACCAAACGCATCTAAGTATGTTCTGTTAGTCCTGAGAGTTATGCCAAGATTGGTTCGATTCCATCGTTGGTGGAGTTCAGAATGCCCTTTGATTATAGGTGAACTATAAATTGCAGCAACTACAACTCCCAAATAACAAAATCAACCCTCCAACCCCATAGTATTCAAATTTGGGCGTATTGGGTATGTGGAAGGGTCTTAAGAGATCTGGAGAGGCAAAGGGAGCCTTTGTAAACCATGTTCAGGCCTAGCCTAAACGGATGCTAAACTACAATCTCCGCTAGCCTTAATCAAATCTGCAGAAGCAAATGTCGAGGGGCAGCTGTATAACAAAAAACATTTTTTAAAATCAATCTTAAAGTAAGCCACTAAGAATACTAGCATAATTACAAATATACTCTTAAATACCCTACATTTATGTTAACTGTTTCTGCCGTGTACCTTCAAATCATTTCTGATATACGATGACTCTTTTAATAGTGTTTTCTCGGCACAATTTCTTCAGAAGAGGTTTATCTTTGCCTTTCCCTGAAATTGAATGTGACATGTCCAAGGTCACCTAGTGGATTTCCATGGTCGAGCTGGGATTTGATCCCTAGTCCCTACAGTTGTCATGGGTGAGAAAACGGTTTGGGGTTGTAGCCCACTGCTGAAAACATTGCCATGCTGGTTCTTGTCAACTGCTGACAGCAGCTCAAATCACAACAATCATCCAGACTTTTGCCATTTATCACTGGCAAACTACTCATTCCTCTTGGCTCTTACTTTCTCTCTAAGGTCCTGGATGTGATTATATTTTTCCTTCAACACATTTTATTCTCAACTTCCTTATGAGCTAATCATTTCCACATTTGTAATCATATTAGTCTAATTCAGAAAAATACCAGAGACATCTCTGATATTTCAAAGACCAGCACATGTATTCTAGTATCATTTATAAACTAACTGAAGACCATGAGACAATGTATTAGACATTAATGTGCCGAAATAGCTGCTGTGGGATATACTCTAACCCGGGATGCCTCAAATCCTACTAGTCTTAATGGGAATGGTTGCAAATACTTGGATAGAAGACTGCCAACGAATATCTGGTGCAGGAGCCGGCAAGGCTATCTGAATATTCCTTGCCTAAGAAAGCCCTATGAAATCCATATGGTCACCATTAGTCAAAAGGTACCTCCAGTACACACATATGACATGGATATAGGAATGTCCTTGCAGTAAAGGCAGTTGCTTTGAGAGCCCAAACTCTCCAATTAATGAGCTGGAATTGCCTGAATCCACTGATTTCACCATCCACAACTTGAAAATACACACACACAGACCCTGCCCAATAATTTGACAAAGCAAATCTTGGTTTTGCTAGGTTACATAAAGAACACCATTTTACAATGTCATTGCATATCATGGGACTTGCACATTTATGGATTTCAGGGGTCCTAGTACCAAACCCCAACAGATAAGAAGGTCAACTGTGCACATAAGACTACAGCAAGAATTATTAGGATTTTTTATTAAGTCTCTGGATAATTTGGTATGAATCAGTAAGGATTTCAGACCCCTGGTTGTTTAGAAATAGTAGCAACAAATTATCTTCAGTCTGCTGAAATAAAACAAACTTGCAATGATGAGAAGCGGATTTTTTCATGGTATTCTTCCTGAGCGAAGGAAGATAGATGCAGACGTAGACTGCAGCCAGGAAATCAGAAGATGTTTCCTTCTTGGAGGAGAGCAATGACGAATCCTGATAAAATACTGAAGAGTAGAGACACTTCATTGCACTGGCAATGAAGATCCACGTCATTAAAGCAATGGTATTCCTCGTAGTAACCTATGGATGTGAGATCTGGACCATAAGAAAGGTTGAGCGAAGGAAGATAGATGCTTTTGAACTGTGGTGTTGGAGGAAAATTCTGAGAGTGCCATGAACCGCCAGAAGATCCAACCAGTCCATACTTCAGGAAATAAAGCCCGACTGCTCACTGGAGGGAAGGATATTAGGGGCAAAGATGAAGTACTTTGGCCACATCATGAGAAGACAGGAAAGCTTAGAAAAGACAATGATGCTTCGGAAAATGGAAGGAAAAAGGAAGAGGGGCCGACCAAGGGCAAGATAGATGGATGGTATCCTTGAAGTGATTGGCTTGACTCTGAAGGATCTGGGGGTGGTGACGGCCGACAGGGAGCTCTGGCCTGGGCTGGTCCATGAGGCCACGAAGAGTCGGAAGCAACGGAACAAATAACAACATTCTTCCTGTATCTACACATGTCAGAAATTTGAGGAATTGTTCTGCACAGAAATACACAATTTATGAACTATGGTTTCTCTGTGCTCCACTTACTTTGCCCTTTGGTTTTCTCCATACTTCAAATTCTGCAAAATTTCTTCAAAGATGAAGTACTTTGGCCACATCATGAGAAGACAGAAAAGCTTGGAGAAGATAATGATGCTGGGAAAAATGGAAGGAAAAAGGAAGAGGGGCCAACCAAGGGCAAGATGGATGGATGGTATCCTTGGAGTGAATGGCTTGACCTTAAAGGAGATGGGGGTGGTGACAGTCGACAGGGAGCTCTGGCATGGGTTGGTCCATGAGGTCACAAAGAGTCGGAAGTGACTAAATGAATAAACAACAAACTCAGCAGAGGAGAGAGAGAAGAAGAGCATAATCTTGCCTTTCCCAGTAGCCTCAGATAAAACCAAGCTCCTTCAGGCTTTCCTAGCTTGTCTTTTCTTATTAATGGTTACCATCTTGACCACACTCTGATGCCATTTGCATACTGGTTTTCCTCTAAAATGCTGGACAGTAAAGCAATGACATCTCTGTGCTGTGGAAGAATATAATTCCTCTATACCTTCAAAAATATATAATTCTTTTACAACTAGAAACAAGGAAGTATTTGCAATCAATGGTGAAGGGAATATAGTAGCACTCATCAGATGGTCAAAGGTACTCTAGTTAATACAAGTTCTGGCTCTGAGGTTTGATTCAAAGTTGGCTGTCCCAGAGCCAGGTGTCTCATATCCAATAAACCTTTCCAGAAATGATAATTACAAATTTTTATGGCTTGGAAGCATTTGTAACTAGAGGCGGTGTAGGCATAGCAAGGGAGGGCCAGAGAGATAAGAGACCACATTGCCCCAAGGAAGCAAGTGCATCTTTGAGGAAGATACCAGACTGTATGTGAAGGCTGAAGGAATTCATCGCTCAGGGCTAAGGCTTACTCCTTCTGAGAATTTAGTCTTTGCCCAAACCCATCCCAACCTTTGAGTCAGAATACTGACCAAGAACACAACTGAGTATGTCAGTGTGGTACTAACTTAGACTGGATGGATCCGATATTACGGGATGGATATTAGGGGTACAGTATGTGAAAAAGCAATGTAGAGAAAAAAGTCTCCATGAGGAAAACTTTACCCTCCAGGTATTTTGGACAGTATGCTGTTAGGAATTGTGGGGGTTGAACTCCAAAACGCCCAAGTTTGCCCATGCCTGGTCTAAGGGGAAGCCACTGTTGCCATGTAGAGCACACCTATTTAAGATTTCAGCACCTCAAAGTGCCTTTATTCAAGGTGGTGGCTTGTTGTTGTGTGCCTAACCTCTATCATTATTAGCAATATATATTTTCAAAGGATGTTTGCCATTGCTTTTCTTTGACGCTGAGAGAATATGACTTGCCCAAGGTCACCCAGTGGATTCCCATGGCCGAGTGGAGTTTCAATCCCTATGCTATTCCCATTCCAGGTACACAATTCCATGCCGCCTTCCCCCATATTATACCCAGCTCTTTCTCGTGAGAGACAGGTTGTGAGGGAGCACAAAGTTTAGGGTGTATAAGTCATATAAGTCATGAAGTCAAAAGATAAAACATGAACAAGTTCCGAACTCATATTCTTGGGGAGGATTGGGGGTACAGTCTTAAGAGCAAGGTAAGACATTTACTACCCAAAGCAAAGTAGCAAATGGTGCCTATAATTATTGCAAAGTCAATAATTAACCATTCACTGTATATCCTCCAGCATTTCAGAGAAGA